TTATTATTCTTTCGTCAAAGTATATTATGTGATTTTTTTTTTTACTTTTTGTTTCCGTGAGTTGGTGTCGTAAAACAATCGAACCCTATATTTTTGTCTATACATATATATATATTCTATAGACGTGATATAGAAATAATAGCCGACTTCACATAATGTTTATATACGCGATATACCTATATAACGACCCTCGTATTTTTTATTAAACGATCAACAAAGTGTGTTTACTCTAACTTGTCGTAATTCGCTTACGATTTTTTTTTTCAGAATCGCTCCCTTATTATTATACACTTCTCCTAGTGTGTTACAATTTGAACTGTATTTTTTTTTTATTTTTTTTTTGTACACGTTTAGTATAATCGAATAATGAACGCCCGCTGGTTTAACGTTCTCGTTTTCCTAGACGAAGCTACTAATAAGCCAAAACATCCCTTAAATTGCAATGAAAAAAAAAATGCTTCTTATATACGTTATAATGTTACATAATCGTTAATTTATATAACGCGTGTAGTATATATGAACCCACACACGCCGCGTATATAAAAGAATAAAGACCATGACCAATACGCGATCTATAGAGAAATATCGAGTGATTTTTTTCGGTTTTGTTACCATTATAGAGTTCATACATAATAGACATTATATACATTATTTGTTATATTATTGTATATTTTATGGAATCCTGAAGCGGAAATGTCCTTGGGCGTATCAAGGCTAATAATAAATACACAATATATATTATACATAACTTAGTTCTGGTGTTTCAGATTTCAGGGCGACTCCTAAGGCTTTCTTATTTGACATACGAGTTTTCTGCCCAAATCTAATAAAAAAAAGTGCGATAATACGATAAATCATTGAACAGTAATCCTTCTGCATGCATAGCGCATAATATTAGGAAAATATTTTTATTTTACAATAGGTCTTGTAATACGCTGGACTTTGGAAAATCGAAAAAATGTTATAGACAGTAGTTAGTCGTCCGACCCATCGCATACAATATTATAATACTAATGATAACTAAAAATACCCCAGAACCTATATACGTATAGAGTATGTACATAGGAAATTTTTAACGGCGATCTAATAGAGGAAAGGTCAAGGATTCAATTATTCCATTTGAATATATAATATAGGTACCTATTTTAAATCACTGTAATGCCAGTTGTAAATTGTAGGTAGCTTTGATAAATATAATAGTAATAATAATATACGTAATAAGTGGGTACTCGCGATTGTTTACTTATGAAACACGTTTTCTGTTCATTGTACCGTAACGAAAACGGCTATATAATATAGTATTATAATTATTTAAAAAGTGTTTAAATTAATTATAATATTGTGAACGCTGCTCAGCTTTGCAAATGTATAATATTATTATATCGCAGTTCGGTTCGTATATGGCATTTGGCTATATAATATATAGGACATGGTGCATATAGGATATTCATAGGATCGTTGATTATACATAGGTATATACTATAGTATATTTTATAAACAATGATAGGATATTTACATTAATAATTATATTATAATATAATACATATCTCACTGCGTAAGCTGCAGCGCATACCTAAGTGGTGTATGATTTTACATATTTTTTTTTTCGACTATATAGCTGCTACCCGCGGCCATTTATCTAAATTCAACTTCTACACACATCGACATTGAATTTTAGCTTTTACGATGCCAAGACGGTATAAACAGCAGTTTGAGAGCCGCACGACGACGACACATGTTAACATTATTGTTATATTATGTTTTATGTAAATCAAACGAACCTTTTTTGATTTACTTATCATCGGCCTGTAATACCTGGCCTGAAACAATTTACGATTTCCATTTATGATATCCCGTGTATATGAGGTATCCACCTACCTATACTTAATAGGTATAATATGTATTATGATGGCACTTAAATTACTTAATTGACATTTCGATTGCGCACGAATCAATTAATTCGTTGGACTGTTATTATAATATTGTTATACTCGTTTTAGATTAGGAATTTTATTTTTTCTGATTGCTTTGAAGTGGCCTAGCTCCTATATATTAACATTTTCTGAATACGGCGGTTGAGTACCTATTCGAAAATCTATATCGGTATAATATAATTATCTAATTGAAATTATATTGGTACTATAGGTAGCCTGGTGTATAGTGTATAACTCAATGTAACGACAAAGTCAAACGGAGTGGTGATTTTGATTAAATTAATTGGAGAAGATGATGTTATACTTCCAATAAGGAGCTATATGCACAGGCACATAATATTATATAGTTAATTGTTTAATATTATGCCATAGGTAGATTGATGAGTATATATACCATTGAATATAGGCACTAACATATAATTAGAGTTAAACGTTATAGGTATATAATATAATTATGTTTTAATCAATCAAATCCCCCCTCCCCCGCCACAGACGAAAGCTTTTTTTCAATAGGTTTAAATAGATAATTAGACACTCCATCATTGTAATACTTTTTATTATAAAAACACACACCATGTATACGGTTCAACATCCCGATTTCCTCCACGACCGTGTCCACTCACCAATGGTAATTCGTATTATGTGCACTTAACACTAACTGCTGCAGTCGTATTATAATAGTTGTCCGGTGCTAAAGAGTATAGTAAAAACAATAATAATATGTTAAAGCTGTCGATTAATTCAAATTTAATCAGAATTGGCCAACGCGACGACAATGCAAACGTATAATATTATTATTATAATACATTTGGAGTGCAGATATTTATTGTGCGTTTCGTGGAACTCGTCCGCCGCGCGTTTTCCGCTGTTCATTTCCGTAGGTACGTCTTGTAAATAAATTATAATATTACAAAATAAGAGACAAGTGCATTGTTCTAGTTCTAGTGCAGACCGCGGCGTTATCGACACACGTCCGTTTGCAGGACAACAAAATAATATATTATTGTCGAAAACTCTTTTCGAGTATATATAATTTTTGTTTTTTATTTCGAACAGATAGAAATTATTCAAATAATAACGCTCGAAAGTTTTTCCGCACGATAAACAACACCGGCCACGTCGTGCGATAACAGACATTATTATCCGTGCTGTTTCGTCGGTATTTTTCGACATTATTACAATAATACGATATATTATATTATAAGTGCGTAACACACTATTACAGTGTTGTATTATAACATATATTATTACGCGTAAAAATGACTTCAAGTCGACGACGACGAATTCGCGAGTTTAGCGTTGTTCTCCCGATGACCAATATTATTGCGCAGAGGATTCTCTCGACCCGGTCTAGCTATCGCTGCACCGTGTAAAATATTAATAATAATAAATTGATAATATTATTATTGTTATTATCGTGCGATTCCAAAACACCGTACAATAACGTTGCGCGTAAACGAAAAACAACGATAACGTTTTATTAGAGAATTACGACGACGGTCATGTGTGTCGGGTCCGCGGTCGGGTGTCATCGCGCGCACAACCTGTTCGCGGTAGATTGTTATTATAATAATAACAATAACAATAATAATATTACGGAGGTGGAGGAGGAAACGCCTCGGAAGAGTAGGCGGGGGAAAAAAAAGCCGACAGCGGAAAAAAAGACTTACCGATCGCTCGTATATACACACGCGAGTCGTAGTACATATTATAGTAATGTATCGGTAGGAAAAAAAAGTTATGAATGAATTTATGTTGGCAAATAAACACACACACACACACACACACACACACACACACATACGTACTTACACGGTCTCGCGCGTATAATAATAATAATAATAATACTAATATAATGCGAGTGTGAGTAGTTGTGGTGTGCGTGTGTAGAGTATAATTTTATTTTTTTTTCCTTCTTTTACCGATCGTTTCAGCTGCCGCCGCCGCCTGAGTTGCCGGTGCACACACACGCACACGTACGCGGCTGGCTAGCCGGCCGGCCGGCAGTTCTATTTTTTAACAACGCGCGCGGACGAAAAAAATAAAAAGCCCACCGGCCCTTCTCCGCCCGATCCTCCGCCTCGTCCACCACCATCGGCACCACCACCACCACCACCGCCGCCACCGCCACCACCTCCACTCGCCGCTCGCCGCTAGCCGTTACCCCCACCACCTCTTGTATGGGATTTTTTTAATGGATCCCAAACTACGGGCGGCGGCGTCGCGTCGGACGACGAGGAGGCGGCGGGGGGTCCGGCTCGCTGCTCATTGTGACACCCTACCATCATCGCCGCCGGTTTTTTTATTCTTTTTTTTTTCATATATATTTTTTACCCGAGCTCGTGTAGACACGGCGGGAAGGCCGGGCGGGTGGCGAGGGGACCCTCCGCCGCGCGCGCCATTCGCCTGTCGTGGCGGCGCGGTGGCGGGGCGAGTTTGGTCGTCGGCGGCGGTGGGGGACCGACGGAGAGTTCTCGTCGTCGTCGGCCGCCCAAACCGCACACTCGCCGAAACGAACCGCTCACGTACGGACCGGTGTCTGCGTGCGCGCTCCACACATAATATACACACACACACACCGCAAAGTAATATTGTCGTGTCGTCGTCTCCGTGAACAGTGTGTGTTAATATAAATAATTTTATTTACTTATTTATTGGTTTTTTTTTTTTTTTTTACTTATAATAATTATTTCGTAAATTTTTTATTCGCTCCGACCGCGGTTGTAGTTATAACCTCCGACGGTACCCGTGTTGTGTGCGTGTGCGTCCGTCCCGCGTTTATTTTTTATATTATTATACTCACCACCGGCTATAATATTTGTGGATATTAAATTGATACAGTTTTCGTTGCAGTCCGTCACTCGTGGGCCTGGTGTTTACATGCGTTTGGGCCGTGCGTTTTTTCATCGAGAAATTATTGTAAGCCCAAAAACCGCACCCGCATACGAACACGATCATCCCTCGCGCGCCGCCGGTCATTTGAATTTTATGTGAACACGACCGTGTGCGCGTTACGCCGGCGCCGCCGCGCATAGCAATCGGTGCTGTAATCCGTACGCCGTCGGCATGAAGTACGATTTCGCAATGGAGAACTGTTTAGGGACCGACTATCCGAACCTGCACGAACTCAACAAGAACTGTTATGGGTTCTCGCCGGCCAGCGTGCAGAACGGACCACAGGCCGCTGCGGCCGCGGCCGCTGCCGATGAACAGACCATGTACAAGGTAACGATCACACGATGATGAATAATTAGTTATGATATTATATTATGAAAAATTCGACGGTCAGACATAAACCCTCCGGCAACTGTATGTGGTTAGGATGGCCTAACCAATCTAACCTGCACAAGACACTTCCTCCTCGGCTGTTTTTGCGATATTTTTTTAAAAATTTTTTCCGCCCCGTCTTGACCGATCGCCAATTAACGCCCAAGTACATGTCATTTTGCCGTATATTTTAAGCTATTATAATATTATCGCCACGGCTCCCCGATCGCCGCCACTTTCTATTACTTTCGTCCGCGGCTGAATAGCCTATTGAGTTTTGTATTATAGGAACATTAAAAAAAAAATCCAACCTATATGCGTGTATATATGCGTACCTGAATAATCCGGAGATCACGGCACGGTTACTAATGCGACCAGAACATGTCAGATAATCAATTATACTTGCTTTTTTCTTTCTTTCTTATTATTATTATTATTTTTTGTACATTTCGTCGGTCGAATCGTCCGAGAGTTTTCCCTCTTGTTGTCCGCCGGTTTACGAAAAATCCAATACACATCACGACGACGACGACCGTTATCATTGTGCATGGTATATTATTACGCTTTGTGCGGGTGTTTGTATGGGATCCCTTTATTTTCTATCAAATTTTTAAGACGAATTTGCTGCAGGTAGTTAGTCCCGTTCTCCGGAATTTGTCGTCCGACGTCCAAGACTCTCAACTTCACGATACCTCGCATTGTAGAAACACACAAATATAATACAATCCACAATAACGGTTTGGTGATGCACCTTTGACTCCTTCTAGTATGCTCTTGTGTGTACAAAGATTTTGAGTCCGAAATTCTGGCAATCGATTTACCGTCCTACTGGTGCACAGCGCACACGCCATATTTAGTTGTCTATTGCAGGGTTACATTGAAGAAAGCCATCACCCCCGCGAGTGTCTGTGACTGCAGAGAGCTGCGTTTGAAGATCGACGAAGATCGTACACCCAGCACTTATTTAGTGCGACAACTGCAAAAAAACAGTTTTTTTTTTTTTTTGTAACTTCCAAACGACCTACATTGCACTCGTCTGTAACACTCGCGCACATAATTTATGAATTGTCATTACATATAGGATAAAACTTAATTCAGTTTATGAGCCACTCATCACTGCTGCACACCGAAGCTGTTTTTCGCTGTTGTGTTTTAATAGAAATACGACGAACCGCACGTTCGAATACTCTTCCAACTATAACCATGTATGCATGATAATATGTGCCAACTAAATAACGCCGCACTCATCCTTCCTTTGTATAGTAGGTAACGTTTTAACAACTGTCACACGCGCTCACGAAAAAAAAAAATCAATATTGACGTTTTACGAAACGTGTTTGATATGCGGTAAAAAAAAAATATAAAGCACCCGCAGGATAATGTGTTCGTTTCTGTGTGTGTGTGTGTGTGTGTGTGTGTGCTGTGTCGGAACACTGAGCGTAAGTAAGTATATAAATCGCGGCGGCGGCAGCGTTGCCAAGTCGAACCGTCGTCGTCGGCGTGCTGCGGGGTGTCCGCCACGGACAGATAATAATAACGTCATCGCAGCCGTCGTGTTATCACCGGCGACCGGTGAAACACTCGCAGAGTATCTATTATAATAGTAATAACTACTAATAATAATATTATAGTAATTAATATCGTCCCGGTTATTATTACACAATATTATTGTTGTAACGTTTACCCGCGGTACATCATAACATCGTCGTACTCCGAGCGCCTGCTGCAGTGTACCACCAAACGCTTAACGCCCCCGAAACGTTTCGTATATTAATATAATCTCTCCCGTGTTACATACGCGCACTCGAGATAGTGCCCAACACCACCATATCGTGACAAAATATTATCTCAAAAAAAAAATTCACTTTTATACTTGTACACCGTCGCCCTCGAGTGCTGCGCGTTTCCTCGCGGACGAAAACGACAGCAGCGCGTATGATATTATGACTGTAACTATAGCGAGTATGCACACGCGCGACATACACACACACTAATGAAGAGTTCATTAGCCTTGAAACGTGTGTGTGTGTGCTGCCTATAAGTGTGTGTGTGTGTGTGTAGGATCGGAATCGTCAGAATGGCACTACACAATTTTTTCGGGATTAACGATACAAGTGTTGCGCTGAAATTCGAGCTCTGCACACTTTCGTTCGGCCGCTGCATTAAAAAATAAAAAAAAAAAACGCTCGCCCGTCCGCAGTGTTGTAGCAGCAGACGTCGTTATCGTCGTCGGCGACGTGCGGAAAGAGATAAAATTCGTACGAAATCCGCCGGCGGTCTTATCACGCGTCGCGCTCGCGCACACAGTTATTAATGTCCTATCTACGATATTATAATGTTATAGCATTAAAATTTGCTCTTCAAGTCCAAAAGTCGCCACGCCGGCTCTATATACGCGTACAGAATGCATTTCACGACAATGTCTGTCGTTATTATTATTATTATTATTATTACTATATATTGTTATCGTTATGAAACTAGCAATTAAAAAAATATAACTTTATAATCTATTCCGTGGCGGTTACGACTCGGACTACTTTTGAGAACGATATTATAATAAAGACAGTGTAATAATTGTGTACGCTCAATAGGATAGAGGAGGAGGCCAGATAAATATTTCATCTCGTTCAGTCGGTTCGTTTTTTCGTCGTCGTCGTTGTTGTCTCGTTAGCCGATTTCGAATTTAATAGGTTTCAGGAAATGGAGTATTGTCATTCGTCGTAACCTTGTAAAGCGACCACGTGCGGCCGTGCGGGTGTTACACTATTGCGTTCCCGCCGCCGCGTTGGTAATCCTCGTTTTTTACGCCACGGCGTCCTTAAAAAATATATCTTCGGAAAATTTTCGTTTTTACTTATTATAATAATATAATAATTATTCGCATTCCTAAAACCGCGGTTTCGGCACCGTACAGCATATAATAATTGCCGGTGACTCTCGGTGCGCAGACGCGACGCTGTTATGGTATTATTATTATCATTATAATATCCGGTAGTCCAGTAAAGAGTAAAAAATATACTCTAACATTATTATGGTCGTTGTTTTATCATTTGGCGCCACTGCCGCCACCGCCGTTGCCGGTGTGCGGTAATAAATTCACGACGAACGAAGACAAAAAGGATGGTCGGGGAACGAGTGGTGGCGGCGGCGGCGATATCGGGAGAGGGAAAACGATAATTATACGTGTTCGTAATATACGACCATAAAAAAAACAGACTCCTCTCACGCACAAAATATATATAAAAAATAAAATATTAAATATATATACCAACCATATGGGCTAACAATGACAGTGCACACGGTCTCGTGGCCGCGCATAAATGTTTTGAAACATGTTAAAACTGTTGCACGCAACACAAGAGGCCCGCTATGTTATAGGTATGTATATGTGTGTGTGTGTGTGTGCGGGTGTGTGCTTGTTTGCGTGTGTCTGTGTGAGTGTATACGTACCTACGTATATAATAGTAATATGTGTATATATGCAAATTAGGCTATATAGTCGCCCACCTAAAAGTTATTAGAGAGACTAACGCACGCGCGCTCGCGCCAAATGAATGGTAACTGGGAAGTACATATTATATTATATACATCTGCCGGGCGACACCTCAATACCTATATACCTACCTATAGTACGATAATATACATAAAGCGGCGACAGTCGTTCGTCCATATAATATATTATTATTATCATAACAGCCGCCGCCGTTGTCGGCAGAAACTTTTTAGTACCTACCTACTACCGCGTAACACGTTATTACCTATTATACCTAGTTGAAAGGTGAGTGGTGACACACGTACGTGTGGGTAAAATAATATATCATAGATATGTATTATTGGCGTAAGACGTTCGTCAGAACTTTATCCGGATGTTTTAGTAAACGCAGATTATATATATTTCACGAATGTAGACCGATTGGATTATTGTATAATCCGTATAATTATTATTTAACTGCATATTATATTATACCATAATATATACCTACAGGTCATAAATAGTTTAGTATTGCGATTTGATATTATAAAGATATATTTTTGATCAATGTTTGGACCACTCATTACCGGACGATCCGATGAGTTGTAATAGCCATTATGACGACCAACCACTGATGGGTATTAATATTATACATCAGAGATTGCTCAAGGTATATACTCTTCGCTGAGCACTGTGTCACTCGTGTACAGGTACTTATCGACTTATCGACGGGTTATTATTTTATTATTATCGTCAATAAAACCGGTACATATCTGCCATAATAACTGTTGGTATAGAAATTAACAGAATATATTATAATAATATGTATAAAAAACTCGTTTATATAGGTCTCCAATATCAATACTCGCGCACACACACACACACACACACACACACACACACACACATTATAATACTCGTTATGTGTTCGATTATGCGTATGATATTGTATTCGTGTATACTTATTTTTCGGAAGGCTTATGCGAGAACCGGTTTTCTTTTTACGTCAAATGGACGCTCGTTCACTTCGATCGCGCGGGGCGACGATGATCGATGCGGTTCCGATCGTGGGCGGCGTGGGCTTCCCCCAGAGCGGCACGGCGTACCTACTCGACCCTAAAAAAAAACTAAAATTACTCAGACTTCAAAACGGGCCGATGGATATTACATTAATGCACAGTGAAATATTTTATTGGTACGACTTAAGCTCGAGCCATAGTGTCAGATATTATATGTATCCGCCGACGCGGTTTCCACGTGAGAAAGAGGCCGCATTCCCGAGGGGGCGTGAGGTTCGGCGAGGTGCAGGGGGTGAGATCGTCGGATGTCGAGTATAATATTATATTACCCCCATAAACTCGGGATTTATTACGCGGCAGCAGGATCTATACCGTTTGTCGCCGCCGTCGCACGATGCGCGAGAGTCGGAAATTCGCCGTCGTCCCCCGCTCGCACGGGAAACACGGTGGCAAATTTTCAAAATTAGTTCCGTCGACTGATCGCGGGGGAAACGCTGCGGGGGCGAGTGAGACAGACGCACAGACAGACCATATGTGACGACTTCTGCTGCGGCGTATATTATTATATTAATATTATAATATTATGTGTCACGTGTAATACAACCGACGGGGTTCAACGGGTCACATCGTAAATCCTGCACAGCAGTGAAATGCTCCTGCCGCCGATTTAGCTTGTGAAATGTGCATTCTTCGAGTTTGTTAAATTGTACACGCACGTCGTTGCTGCCAAGACGAATCAGTCACGGCCGCCTCCTCGTCGCCCTCGCATCACTCGAGCTTCGTCAGGTTCTCCGGTCGTCGGTATAATAATAATATTATAATAATAATTATACACATGATGCGCGCATAAAATTATATGCGCTTGTGACGTGACATCCTCCTCCTCCTCCGACCTGTTTCCCCCCTAAAACAAATAGTCTACAAAACGGGCCGATGATTTCCCTGTCCGTAACCTAACCTATACCCGTGAGATGTACGCACGATACCTATATATGCCTACACGTGTGCGCGACACACCTGACAAGTGTCGCTGTCGTCCACGCGCGTGCGTTTTTAATACCTACTATGTTTGTCCACCGTAAATATTTGTTTTATCGTCGTAAGGGGGTACCGCGTTCATCAACGATCGCCGCCGCCGCCGTCGCCGTCGTCGTGGCCGCGTCTCTGTTATATAATAAACACCTGTACCGTACGAACTTAAGCGAACCGTATGGTATTAATATTACGTAGGCACTCGTCAAAAGTACACGCAATTGGTGTGAAAAAAAAACCGATCGTCTCTCCGAACGAACTCTATCGAAAATATAATAACAACAATAATAATATTATTATTATAACGAGTTGAATAAATATTTGTGTTTATCGTTATTTATGATTCTTTTTTTTTTTATTATTCCTCCTCAGCAGCAGCAGTCGAAACGTATAACGTAAACTGAGTTTATTCGCCAAACAACTAATTATATAATAAGCGCTCTGTTGCATAATTTGTGGTTATTCCCCCCTCCCCCCACCAATAAATTATAGCATTATTGTCAACGGAATTATATTGACATTGGCGGTTTCATCTTGGCTCTCGTCAATGGTTAGTGTTTTGCTTCGCGACTGCGCAATCAATATAAAATCGTTATATATCAAACGAATAAAACATAATATTTTCTAATTATATTAAACCATTTATTAAATCTAACCTAAAAACTCGTCTAATACATCATATAGGGTGCTCGCGAGGAGTGGCTGCAGTAGTAGTTTTCCATTTCACCCCTAGCTCGTTACGCACACGTTGCGATATGACGAGGAGTGACCAAACACCTCGGTCGTCTCGCGGTCGACGTCCTCTTCTCGGCAGCGGGCCCCTCTCTCTCCAGGGGCGATTTTTCTAACGGACAAAAAAGGGTGACGGCCACAGCAGTATATATATAGAGAGTCCTCCGGGCTATTTTTTCCACCCCTTTTTTTTTTCGGTGGCGAGCTTCTCGCGCTCGCGCTTTGGCTCGATCGCCAGAGAGGGCGGCGGCGGGTTAATGAAACACAAAAAACCCGATTGTGTGTGTGTGTGTATACACCCCCTTTGGTTAGGTTCCATTTTTTACTTGCATTATGTGTGTGTATGTTGCACGCAACCGCCGCCGATTGTGCAATAATCCGAAAAGAGGGTCTCTCGCCGCGATGGGAGTAATGAACGTGCAGGGAATACGCTGCACACACGCACACGCTGCAACATATTGTATACAGAACCTTTACCTATATTATACTCGCTTATATATTATATTATCGACAAATTGGTCGGACTTAATTGAACGGTGGATATCGCAGGGGAGAGGCGGGTCATTAAAAAATAAACGACATGTTATTTTTTTTTTTCGTATATAGGTATATAGGATAATAATAATAATATTATATTATATTTATATTTTTGGGGATACGCGTACAGCCGCACGGTACGGCGCGCTGCCGATGCCAAAATATTAGCGTCCGTCGGCCAAAAAAAACCGTATAAATAGACGAAGAATTAATGTTCCTAAAACGACGTCGTCGTCGTATATAGTCGTCGTTGTTGTCATGTACATTATACTTATAAGTTATATTATATTATTATATATTCTGCTCGGTCGTTTCATAAAGAAAAAAAAATAAGAACGTACACCGTGCGCGAGCGAATTCGATTACTAACACACGCGCGCGTGTAGGTCAAGTTTTTTTCGTTTATGTATAAGCACTGTATATATATATAAAAAAAAGGGGTGACTCGTATTTTGATTCTTTCTACTCGGGGGGTTTTTTTTTATCGTAAGAAATAAAAACAAGTGTTTCCGCTCGACCGGTGTAGGTCGTCGTCGTCGTCGGTGTTGTGGTGGCGGAGGGAAAACAACAGTTATCGGTAATAAAATTCAATCTCGAGATGCTTATGAATTATATATAAGAGCGGACGGAAAGAAAAGCCACACACAATTTGTTTTGCTAATGTGCGCCGTGTATGGAAATCGATGTATATAACTAGAGCGGGGCGTTTGAGAACAAGTTTATTTTTTATTTTGTACGACAACCAGTTAGGTCAATTTGGTTTATTCACCGGCGGAAACCCGGATCTTCCGGAAATGCATGTTCGACGGAAACTGTTTTTCCTAAACTCGGGCCGTCCGTCGTCGGAAATCGTCATTTTTGTTATCCACTTGCGCTAATTGGTTTCTATTTTTTATAAGTACATATTATTATATAGGTACACCGGGGGACCGATTAGAAATCCGTGTTACAAAACTGTTGTGGAATTTCTATAAGAGTCGTTTAATACCCCTTCCATTCTATTGTAACACGAACTACTGATCACCCCATGTATAGATATATATTTAGGTATATGTTATGCTCATGGCACGTATTGTTGTTACAGGGTCGCGGTAGGAAGCGGGGCGTGAACAAAGGTAGAGACGGTCTCGGATGGTCGAGTGTGGACCACGGAAACCCAGAGGTAAGTTTCGATTGTTTATTAGTAAAATATATATATATGTATAAGGCCTATTAAGGCGTCATATATAATATGTATGAATTATCGTTGTTGTTTCGTCTTCCGATTTAAAAAGTCATGATCCGAAAATAATTTAGTAGTGTGTAGTGTGTTTTTTTAAAAATAATATCGATCGTATCCGCCCTCGACGCCGATTTTAAGAATCACCGGAAAAAATAATCACAGTATACCTACGATTGTGAATATAATATACTACCATGTAGTATACCATTATAATACGTACAATATGTACAAACGAGTTTTGTTTGGGTGCATTGAAACGTTTCAGTATAATATATAATATTATAATATATAGTGTATATACCTACATTATATTTAGTATATTATAATTTATAATACACGGGTACATATTATTATATACGATAATAGACATCACTCGTAATTAGTAATTACTTCCTAACGTGTATTATGCGGCGATAAAACACGATTAGACCGGTTTTATTATAATATTATATTATATATTTCAGTTAACAAATGGTTACGAAAAATCGACCATATTATAATATCCGATGCCGTCACGTTATTGAACGTCCAAAGTCGCTGTGGTCGGACGAAAGCCGAAAATAGTTCTGTAGTCGGATTATTATAATATTATTACGATATTCGCTTACTGCGGGTTTTTATTTTTCCTCTTCGGTAATTTTTTTAAGCACGCCGTTTTCGTTAAATGCACACGCGACCGGCGATAACCCTCATCCGGCTGAAAACAAACTCTGAGAAATAAGTCTATTAAAAAAAAAAATCTCAATAAAACATTATACATCTGCGACTGTGTGATAACACATAATATTTGATAATAATAATTATGATCGTCGGGAAAAAAAAGAATATATTATAACTACATATTGCATGTCATTGGTGCGGTGCATATGATAACTGGCGCATGTGTATAATAATATTATCGCTGCAGCTTTACACCTATTAAAATATACAATAATATACACAATAGGTATATATTTTATTATGCTGCACGCGTACTCCTCCGTTGTTAAGTTTTATCGGTAAATTAAATTAATTGCTAATAGATTGTGTGTGTGTGTGTGTGTGTGTGTGTGAGAGACTCGCGAGAATATTATATTATGTTTTCTTTTAAACAGACTGCAGAAAGTATTATACATGTAGCACGTGAACCAATTGTTTTATTTTCTTACGTTTCGAATAAAAATCAATTTCCCCTGACGTCTACACGCCGAGCAATACTATATACCTATATTTACTTACACTGTATACCTTATAGTGATAATAATATTGTAGTATCCGTCGACGAAATTCGTATGACCATAATTTAAATTTACTATTACTATTATTGCACGGTCGTTGCGCGAAAACGAGTTTCACGTGTTTCGGCTATTTTCGTTACATCCGCAGACTACACTATAATATAATATAATATGGAATAAAATGCGTTTAATTTCGAAAATAAAAACCATAGAAATTAAATCGGCGACTGACGACGTGTCCGAGATAATCCTCTGAATCCGTTTTTACGCGATTCGCCGCCGCCGAAGAACGTCTTCTTACCCGTCACCAGACACCTATAATAATATCGTTTGCAACATGTTTCAATTAGCCGACGCCGCCGGTTATCACCGAGAATATTGCACCCGGAGAAAAAGTGATAAGAGCATACTATACCTATTGTACGAGAATTAATGTTTTAATTTCAATTGAAAATAAAAAAAAATGTGAACGCCTAGCGTTCGCCACTCCTCACCTATTTATATTATTATTATGATACAGTATATCATGCCTATAAACTGATTTATGTATATTACTATAGGTAATATAGTCGCATCATTATATCATTATTATTATGGTATGATGTTTTGCAACGGTGCGCTCGGTTGATGGAAATAATACATAATAATATTATAATATAATATATAGATATCGATAATAATGATAATAATAAGACAATACGTACAAAATAATAATCGGAGATTGCGGTCGACACCTACAACGACGTGTCTCGACGTATCCGGTTTAGTTCGGTTTTTTAAAAAAAAAAATTTTAACGATGGGCGACCAACAAATATACACTATGAATCGTGGTTTCGTGTTACATTATCGGTGATACAATGGTGGTATGGCCGTATGGGGACGAAAAATTATTATTATATTATTATTATTTTTTAGCTCAGCCGGACAAACCGGTGTGTGTTGGTGTGCCCGAGTACGATTGTCATCGTGCATTATTTACGAACCGTTGATTTTTTTTCGCTTTTTGTAACCCCTCAAAACGAGAACGGGTCGAATTTAATTGAATTAGAAATATAAAAAAAAACCTGAAGCCTTTTCGTTCTATACCGCGCGCGCATATATACCTATCCGTATATTTATGTTTATTATGTATATACTAAATACATGCATATATTTTATATACCACGCGTATACGCGTATAGGTTTATATAGAAGTGTAGAACCCCTTTTTTCGTCTACCTGCTTCCTATGCCATACCCCTGCATGCGCGTGTACACACGTGACTGCTAAATTGGAGGAATTATCGGTCTGTCGTATTTTTTTTTTATTATTTAATTATAAAAGAATGGTCAGTGCGGGTATGCGCGCACGTGCAATTCGATTTTTCCAATGTTGTAATTTGCATAATATTATATATATTTTATAATTCAATACGTCGGTCACCCATCATCCATAGCACGTCCCGTGGACAAAAAAAAAATATTCGATAATCCCGTGTCTTGGGCGGGCGACGCAGAGTTTTATTGTTTCATGTCGGAACACCGCGACATTAATAATTATTGCCGTGACCGTGCGAGGGTTATTATTTCTAATTTTTTTTTCAGTTTTTGAGCTCGTTTCGGCACGAGAAATTTTGCGGTCGAATAGGTCCCCGCGCCCGATCATTACATATAGCAGAGCACCTATATCGCGTATAACAACGTTAACTTTGGTGTAAATAATATGATAATATTATGGGACATGGGTAACGCACATATTATATGGTCGGCGACAAAGCTGTTATTGTAATGTCGTGTGATAATCCTTTGGACGGTGTCTCGTTCGTATCGGTATTGCATACCTAAACATATAACTATACATATGTGTGCAACCTTAAATATGACTTAAATACCATATATTATAATGAATGTGTAATTTACTAAATCAACAACAGTAAATGGTAAATACGGTCGAAGCTCAAAATTCACCAAAATATGCCTACGCATACCTATCAAGAAGATATCAAAATATAATAATAATAATAATAACAATAATAATAAATGTAAACAAAATCGTTATCTGGCTTAAACCGTCGTTGCTCGAGGTCTAGACCACCACCGGTGCAGCGGCGGTAGCCAGCAGGCCGGACACCACGTAGCGGCGTTTTTTTTTATTTTCTTCTCGTTTTTGTTTTTTAACAACAATTTCAAACGCACGCGCACACAGGTAGCTTGTCGCCGCTTAATGTCGGGTGTGTGTGTGTGTGTGTGTGTGTGTGTGTGTGTGTGTGTGTGTGTGTGTGTATGTTTGTGTGTGCGCCGCCCGCGGCTGTGGCTGCGGCAACCGACTCGCGCAGGGTGCGTACACATTATATACGGCCGCCCGAATGTCGGAATTCGTTTCGTACGGCCTTCCTCCCACCCCCTCCCGCCTTGTTTCCATCGCAGTCAAACCTGTGGCGAGGAGGGCTTATGCGTTTATGTTTTTTAAACGCACACCATACAGCGCGATTGCCGACGCCGCCGCCGCCGATTTGTTTCCCGTCTACCACCTATAGATAGGTCGTCGGTAGTAAAGTTTGGCACGTTTTGACCGCGGGACTTTCGAGTGTTTCTTTTCGAGTCCGCACAACGATAATGATATTTCGTATTTCGTCTCGTTCGGAGTCGGCAGACTGCTGCCGTCGCTATTATACCGTAGTTGTTGTCCGATATTTCCGTTGTAGATTTTTATGGGAAAAACAAACTGTTCACTGGACAATATTATTATTATGTTCCAAATCATTTGATATTGTATCGGCTGTAATCGAGTGTCGTATGGTTTTTTTTTAAAAAGCGATTGGAGTCGACTTTTCCGCTGTGCTTTTGTGCACTCGAAATGGGCGTGTTGACAATGCATTAACAACAATATTATATTATTATTATAACGTATAAACTCGCGTATAATATATTATTATTAGCTATTAATTTATTATAATACTCTCATTAGTCATTACTGTAATATATTATATATTATTCCACGACGGTGAGGCAAAACGCGTTCGACGACGACGACGAGCGTGTCGGCGGCGTACCTATTCCATGCGGCGCGCGACCGACCTTGGACATGACATCACTGCGCGCGTCGCCTCCGCCGCCGCCGCCCTTCAGTATACGTTTAATAATAATATTGAAAACGCGGTACAGACAGCCGTCCGCGCCACGGCAATCTCCCTGTATACGCGCGACGGGGACGACTATATGTCATGACTCGAGTGGATGGACGTGCGTCTTTTTTTAAATTTCCGTCTCCTAACTCGCGAGACTTTGCGCAGATAATCCGACGGCGGCGGTGAACTATTCTACACGTGTGTAAAATACGATAATTACTATCATATTATATTGTATTATAATTCCGTTTTGCCGCGACGCACACGGTCGTCATTTCAATATTAATTATTCATTGAATCCTGTTTTCCGTCGAACACATTCGATTTGTATAATATTATACGTACGCGTCAATTATAACATTATATAATAATATCATTGTTCTGTGATTTAATATTGAGCGCTCTCGTCAAATCGGCCGCCGCCGCGTAATCACGATCGTACGACGGTCGTATATTTTTTTACTGTATAAGCGCCGTGTGTCTGTCCGCGCTCGTGTGTTCTCGACGGTTTCCGACGACGACGACGACGACGATGACGACCACGCTACTCGTAATGCATAGGCGTACCGTGTTGTTCGAAAAACAGTTTTTTTTACGGAATACCGTACGACGGTTT